GACGGTCGAAGAAGCTCCAGCTCCAGCTCCAGCAGCACCTCCAGACTCAGCAGCACGCCTCCAGCGGCGAGCGAACCACTCGCGCAGCTCCTGTGGAGAGAGGGGCTCCCGGCAAGACGCAGCAGCAGGAGAAACCCCAGGCTCAGAAGCTCCAGACGCAGCACCCCCAGGCTCAGCAGCTCTCAGCTCAGCACCCCCAGGCTCAGCAGCTCCCGACCCAGCACCCCCAGACCTAGCACCTCCAGGCACAGCACCCCCAGGCTCAGCACCCCCAGGCTCCGCACCCTCCGCAGTAGCACCCTCAGGCCCAGCACCCCCAGCAGTAGTACCCCGAGGCTCAGCACCCCCGCTCACAGCACCCCCAGAGTCAGCACCCCCAGGCTCAGCACCCGCAGCAGCACCAGAGTCACCAGTAACCTCGACCGGGTCAACGGCGTCTACCTGGGACACACCTGAGGGGGCAGGAACCTGAGGGGGGAGGGGGTCTACCGGGGGGGGAACCGGCACAAGGAAGTCCGGGGGAGGGAGGAGGGAAGGAGTGCGGTAGGGGAAGAGACGGTAGAAGGGGACTGACTCGTCGAACGTGACGTCCTGGGAGGACAGAACACGACGAGAGGAGGGGTGGTAAAACTGCCACCCTGGGGCGTCAGTGGGGAAGCCAAGGAAGACACAGGGAGCAGCACGAGGGGACAGCTTGTCCGCAGACAAGTCGCGGACAAACGCCCGAGATCCCCAGACACGGAACACAGACGCATCGCCAACCTTCCCCGTCCACAGCAAGGCTGGGGACATCGCAGGCCGAGAGACCCGGGGGTGAAGGTTGAGCTGATGCGCCGCGTACCTCACCGCAAACGGCCACAGAAAATGGGGGGCAGCCGCATGCATCATGGACGTACGAGCGACATCCATGACCATGCCAATGCGGCGCTCAGCAATCCCATTTTGCTGTGGTGAGTCCGGAAGCGTGAAGGTCTGGCGGATCCCCCGTGCACGACAGTAGTCTCGCAGAAGGCGAGAAGAGAACTCTCCGCCTCTGTCAGAGTGCAGACGCAGAACAGGAAAGTCCGAGCCGAAGCTCTTCCTGAGCTGGAGACGAGCCTCGCGGATCCAGTCAATCAGCACCTCAGTGACCGCACCCTTGCTGCGCAAGGGGAGGACTGTGGTGTAACGCGAGTAGTCGTCAACCACCAACAGGAAGTAGCGCTCGTAACCCTGCCCACGGACGGGGGCAGGGCCCCACACATCCATGTGAAGCGTCTGCAGGGGAGCCTCTGTCGGGGGGAAGTGGGAGGAGTGAGGAGTAGCCCGGAGGCGACCCTCGACACAGGGGACACAGGAAGGTCCTGGCCCGGAGGGGAGAGGAGGGAAAGACTGGGGAAGACCGGAGACAAGGACACGGGAAGCCATGCTCCGAAGACGGGGCAAGGAGGGGTGGCCAAGACGGTGGTGCCACAGGAGAGTCTCGTGAGACAGGAGGCGACAAGAACAGGGGGCAGACTCAGGACCTGACCGGGACGCAGCAGCAAGTACCTGACCCGACGCAGCCACCTGACCAGACGCAGGGACAGGAGGAGACTCAACGGTCAGGGTGTAGAGACTCGACCCCGGCCGACGCGAGAACGTGGCCAGGTGTCGGCCTGTGCGTGCCTCCGTGCAGTGGGTCACGCGCTGACTCGCAGGAGTGAACTGGTGAACACCCCCATCCTGTAGGTCCGCTCCACTCACCAAGTTCGTAGAGAACGAGGGAAGGTACAGACCCGACAGGGTGCCCGAAGGGGCAGCCGGACACGGGAGGACAGTGGAGAAGTGAGACAGGACAGGACCCCCAGAGGGGTCAGCAAGGGAGACTGCAACCGGCCGGCCGAGCGGCGTAAGGGTAGTGCGGTCTCGAAAGAAGGAGCGAGAAGCTCCGGAGTCAAGTGTGAAAGTGAGGGAGGACGAGGACGACTCAGTACCTGAGAGCGCAGTCTCACCAGTACCTGAGAGCGCAGACGCACTGGCACCTAGAGCAGCAGCCTCACAAGCACCTAGCGCAGCAGTACCAATGCCCGGGTCGGGCTGGAAACAGCGGTAACCCTCATTCTCCTCACTATAATCCACAACATACATAGCAGTAAGGATAGCATCAAAATCAATATCAAAGATCGCTACACCAGCCCTGAGAAGCTCATCCCAGCGAGGGATCTCACTAGCCCCAGGGAACTGCTGACGCCAGGCGTCCGTCAGGCGGCCAAAGCAGCGCTGGGTGGCGTGGGCACCCCCACACTGCTCACCCGCGCGGTCGCCGGAACGAAGAACGTAGGTGCAGGGACCAGTACCCCCACCCCTCTGACGCCCAGCGTACCACTCACGAAGCTGCTGAGGCGAAGGGATGTCCCGAGAGCGCTGCTGCTGCTGCTGCCGCTGCGAGCGCTGGCCACCACCACCGCCGCTACGCTGCTGGGTACCACCCCGACCAGCTCCACCCCCTCCACCACCACTGCCTCCTCCGCTGCCGCCTCCACCGCCTCCACCTCCGCCGCCTCCACCTCCGCCGCTGCCTCCACCACCACCGCTGGCACCACCACCACCGTCTTCGCCGCTGCTGCCACCACCACCACCACCCCCGCCACTAGTCCCGCCGCCACCCCCACTCCCTCCGCCGCCACCGCCGCCACCGCCACCGCCCCCTCCAGCTCCACCCGCGCCCTTGCCCCCCTTGCCCTTGCTGGAGCGACGTCTCCCACTAGGGGCAGACGCCGCGCCGACCGACTCAAGACCAAGCAGGTCGGCAGCAGCAGCAGAGGCAACAGAGGGCAGCAAGGGGGAAGGAGAGCACCCCTCAAAGATGGGGGTGCGAGGGTCACCACGAGAAGCACCTACAGCGACTATGCTCTTCTCCGCTGCGAGGAGGGCCTTCTCGAGGAGGTCGACGGTGAGGGTGGTGGGACAGACTGCGAGAAAGTGGTCCCTGACCACGCGAAGGGAGTCAGGGAGGCGCGCGACTACGTAGTAGAGAGCGATGTACATGGGGGGGGGGGGTTCTTAGCGCAGAACTCAGCAGGAAGGGCGGCGCGGTAGCGAGTGTCACTAGTGCGGAGGTGCGTAATGAGGTCAGCGACAGTGGGAAAGGCAGAGAGGTCAGGAAAGAGGTAGGGAAGCATGAGACGGCTCAGTGCAGCAGTGGCAGGGGAGGAGTAGCGCGCAACTACAGCGTCGTACAAGGTCTGAGCACTCTTGTACTGACTGAAGTGCGCACGCTCAGAGGTAGGGAGGTGGCGACGCACAGCAAGACGTGCAGCAGCATCGCGGGTGGCCCACTTAGAGCGGACAGCGGGATCAGCATCAGCAGCAGGAGCAGGAGAGGCGCCAGAGGTGAGATCAAAGAGAGAAAGGTCGTCAGCCCTGTCGCACTGTAAGAACAGCTGCAGGTCGTCTAACCAGACCTCAAAATCAATGGCGCGACCCTCAGCGTCAAAAGCTAGGACACTAGGGGTAGCCATGGCGACGACAGCAACGCAGTGCAAGCAGCAGGGAAAGAGCTCGCAGTGTCAGTGGGACTGTGCTCACCAGGCAGGGCAGGTCGTGTAGGTATGCAGAAAGGCGGCTCAGCGACTGGGCGGCTCGGGTGCTGGGCGGCTCGGCTGCTGGGCGGCTCGGGCGCAGGGCGGCTCGGCTCCCGGGCGGCTCGACGGCTGGGCGGTTCGGGTGCAGGGCGGGTCAGGCGCAGGGTCGGCTGCGGCTGGGCGGCTCGGCTGCGGCTGGGCGGCTCGGCGGCTCCTGGGCGGCTCGGCTGCTCCCGGGCGGCTCGGCGGCTCCGGGCGGCTCGGTTGCTCCGGGCGGCTCGGCTGCTGCTGGGGCCGTGTAGGTAGGGCGGCTGGGCCGCGAAGGTAGGGCGGCGGGCGGTCCGCTGATAGGGCGGCAGGTGGGCCGCAGGTAGGGCGGCGGCTGGCCGCAAGTAGGGCGGCGAAGGGCCGCGGGTAGGGCGGCGAAGGGCCGCGGGTAGGGCGGCGGGTGGGCCGCAGATGAGGCGGCGTAGGGCCGCAGGTAGGGCGGCGGGACGGCCGCTGGTAGGGCGGTGGTCGGGCCGCAGAAAGGCGGCGGGGCCGCGAAGGGATGGCGGGGCCGCGTCGAAGTGGCGGGGCCGCGACTGGGCGGCGGGGCCGCGACGAAGTGGCGGGGCCGCGACTGGGCGGTGGGGCCGCGATCAGAACGGGCGGCGGGGCCGCGACTGGGCGGCGGGGCCGCGACTGGGTGGCGGGGCCGCGACTGAGTGGCGGGGCCGCGCGAGGGGGTGGCGGGGCCGCGTCTGAAGGGCGGCGGGGCCGCAAGGGGACAGGGCGACTCGGAGGGTCGCAAAAAAAGGAATCGCGCGCCTCGGGGCGCGCTTCGGTGGGCCCTAGGCGAAGTTCCCACAGGGAACCTGCTCTATACCATGTGAAACTGAAGAACAGGAATGAAATGACTAAGGAAAGATTGGGTACAAATACAACCCTAGAAACCCCGTACCCCATATGTGCTACCCCACTATAGCCTACAGCAACTATGTCATATAAATCTGACAAGGGCTTGTTTGCGTCATCGCCCTCAACAATATGGCACCGGTGATTGTTGAAACCGTCGATTCGAAAACGGCAAAGAAGACCGGCATGTATCTAGCCGACGTCCTCCACCGCTCCATTAGCAAGGTTGGGGACAGCTGCGTTGTCCAAGTTGTCATGGACAACACGGCTAATTACCGGAGGGCAGCCGACATTTTATGCGATGGATTCCCATTCATTCTCTTCAACAATTGTGCCGCGCACGTTCTTGACCTCATGCTTCACGACTTCGGGAAGATTCGTGCGGTGAAGCGGGTCCTAAGCCAGGTGAACCGAGTGGTCGTGATGGTGAAGGGAAGAGCCTCCACCGTCACTCTCTTCCATGAGGTTTTTAGCGAGCTTGCCTTGGTGCGGCCTGGTGCAACTTGCTTTGGCACGAACGTGATCATGCTCAGCTGATTTCTTGAAGTAAAAAAGGCGATGCGGCAGATGGTCATAAGTGAGGAGTGGGAGGCGGTTGCAGTGGCAAAGCAAGATGAGGGGAAGGCGGTCCGGTTCCTCCTCTTGGATGAGGTGTTTTGGGATTGCGCAACGGCGGTGCTCCACATCATGCAGCCCGTATATGACGTCCTTCGGGTGGTCGACACGCGGGCTCTAGTCATGGGGCAAGTGTATGGCCTCATGCTAGAGGCCACGGTGAAGACCAATGAGGCGGCTGAGGCTAGAGGTAAGACTACCCTTGCTTGCACAAACAGCATGAGCGTGATTGCATGCATACCCCTTTCCCGCTCATACTTACCTTCGGTTCAAGTGTTTGTACATCTCATTGGCAGCCGCCATGCTTGTCAAGCGCACGTCCCTGCTGGCGGCAAAGGACAGGGCATTATTTCTGGCGGAAATCAAGGCTGTCATAGCCAAGAGGTGGGACGGCCAGCTGCATAACCCACTGCACGCTCTCGGGTGGCTACTCAACCCCCGCAATCAGTACGTGGGGAAAGTGAGGAACGACAAGAAGGTGAGGAGTGGGGCGGAAGCGGTCATCCAAGCATGTGGGGGGGATGTCGCCCTGCGCACCCTGCTCCAAGCACAGTTGGCCCAGTTCCACAAGGGCGAGGGGCGGTTGGGGTCCCCCGACGCACGATGGGCTGCAATGGTATTGGTGGAGGGGGGCCGCTTGACGGATGCGGAATGGTGGTGGATGTACGGGGGGAGGTGCAGGGGCTCCAGAACCTGGCTGTGACCTCATCCGAGGTGGAGCGTTACTGGTCAGCAATTGCACGTGTGCAAAGGTGTGACCGTAACCACATCTCCGCCAAGAAATTGACCGGCGTTACGTATGCCGCGTTCACCAGGAGGGCCCGGGATACTTTTGACAGGAAATCCACAGTGAGGGAGAAGCTTTACGTCGATCTGAGCAACGGCACCCTCAAGGAAAGATGTGTCGTCGCTCCGGCAGAAGCAGAGGTGGAGGAAGTGGGGGCGGAGGAGGAGGGAGAGGTGAATGTGGGATGTACTAGTGACTAGGATCTACTCGGCCAGATTGGCAAGAGGAAGAAAAAGGTGGGTGAGAGCTCTAAATGGAAGAGGAAGGGCAAGGCGACCAAGCCTTGCAAGGGTAAAGGGAATGCAGTGGCTGCGCGTGAGGAGGAGGAGGCGGCGGACAGCAGTGGCCAGGAGGAGGAAGATGTGCCCACCACCAGGATTCGCCAGGGCGAGGATCCCTGGGACATCAGTGATGGCTCGAGCGGGGAGGAAGCGGATGATGATGATGATGATGATGATGATGATGAGGAGGAGGAGGAGGAGGAGGAGGAGGATGATGATGAATAGAGGTAGAGGAGGATGATGTGTGCTAGATGGGATGTTTACAGGAGGAGGAGAGAGAGGCATAGCAGGAGTCGTGAGAAGTATTAGTAGCCTAGTGCACCTAGGAGGTGGGAGAGGCATAGTAGGTTTGCTGTGTAGGCTTATGTTCACCTTCCAGCACCTTTTAGCAAGCATTTCAGGGATTGTAAAGACCCAAAAAACCACAATAAAGATATATAGAAAATACGCCATATTTTAGCAAATCTGGCCATATAATACAACTCTATTCTACCGACTGTATAATACGATTGCTGTATTTTTCATCCTTGTAAGCATTCGTTTTGTGTGACAAAGTTGGCTTGTTCTTTGCACAAATCAGATCAAACAAAACTTTCCAACCTTTTTTGGAGAGTTGCGGAACCTGTTCATGCTGTGAGTAACAGTTTTTACACTTGATGGCTCAAATCTGGCTGGCTGGTCTGCTGCTTTAGACGTTAAGGCTACAACTGCCATGTGGGAGAAGTGGCTGCTGCTTGCCTGCCTGCAGAGTGGGGCTTCCCTGGCTGGTGTTTCTGCTTGTGCAACTTGCCACACAAGCTTCTCTCTGATGCCATGCCTTGCCATACATTTCCATGCCATACCTTGCGCGTTTGGCTTGCCATGCCCAGGCCTTGCCATGTCATCCATGCCATGCACTGCCATGCCATGCCCGCCATTTCTTGCCATGCCATGCCAGGCCTTACCACGCCATGCCTTGCCTGCGCAACTACACCATCCTGTCTTGTGTACATCTGTTATTGGAATCCCTCATTCATTGCCTCGCACTTTATTTTGTGTTCAAGTGGCATGAGCAGAAGGGCAATGTTCGAGGTGAACCGAACAGTTATATGTTTTTGGCCTTAAGTATTAGGAGCGAACATGTTCGTGTTCGGTTCGCTGTGGCTAGCCGAGCCGCACCGAACAGAAACACGTTCTTGTTTGCTGTAGAAAGTTGATCAGTGAACTTCAGGGCACAATGAGAAGAAGAATATTTCCTTAGTAGGAAGATGGTACAAGCCTTACATGCTAGAGCAATGTCCTTGTCCAAGGATGAATCGTAGTGAAGGAGGAAGCCACATATATATGGCTGAACTCTTGAGGCTAGGTGCAGCACCTCAAAGCTGAGGGCAAGGCTAGCCAAATCTGCCAAGGTAGCAAGTGAGGCCTCATGTTGCACGTGTGGGCCAGGCTGCAACAACAACCCACATGGCAGCATATGGCACATCATAAGGGCGAGCAAGGTGAGCATGGGATGAGTGGACAGGTGGCAATGCCAACTGTGACCACACTTCACTGTGGGTGAATGTGGTGAAGTGTTGACATGAAAAGAGAAGAGAAAGTGCAGATGCAGAGAGTTGAACCCACGACCTTTAATATTAAAGGTAGAAAACTACCCACTGGGACATACTTGCTGCACAAAACCCCCCCTCAAGGATGTCCCTGAGGGAGGGTTCTTCAAGTGGAGACATGGATGAGACCAAGAAGAGCACGGATGCGAAGAAAAGGTTCACGTGGCAAAGGCTTGGTGCCAATATCAGCAAGGTTGTCTTGAGTAGAAACATAGTGAAGGGTGACGGAGTGGTCGGCAACATGATCACAAATGAAATGGTGCTTGGCTTTGAGATGAAAGATGCCATCGTTCTTGGCGAGAATGATGGCACTGTTGTTGTCATGCAAGATGCGGGTGGGGCCGGTTGGGGGAAGTCCAAGTGCAGTAAGGAGGGAACGAAGCCATAATGCCTCATGCACCGCGGCGCCCAGAGAATAATATTCAGCTTCACATGAAGAGGTAGCGACGGCAGCTTGGCGTTTGGACTGCCAAGAGATGAGTGACGGACTGAGGAAGAACAAGTAGCACGTAACGGAGCGTCGAAGCTCCCCCTCTGGTCCCCAAGAGGCATCACATTACCCATCAAGTTCAAGGTTGTGGGAATGCCACCAAGGAGAAGACCAAGGGAGGTAGTCCCTTTCAAGTAGCGAGCAACGTGTTTGGCGGCCGAGACATGGGGAGTAGACCAATTATGAAGGTGACGAGCAAGAACTCCAGCGCTGTATATGAGGTCGGGACAGGAGCCCACCATGGCATACATGATGGATCCGACAAATGAGGTATAAGGAAAGGAGGAGGAGTGCGGGGAGGAAGTCACGGGCAGCTGAAACTTGGTGTGCATGGGAGTGGCAGCGGGGTTAAGCGGAGTGAAAGAGTAGGTGTCTAGAATGGAGGTGATGAATTTGGATTGATGAAGGCGGAGAGTGCCAGAGGTCCGATCACGAGAGATGCAAAAGCCAAGGTGGTAGGAAAGAGGACCGAGGTCACGAAGCATGGAGCGAGATGAGAGAGCATGCTTGAATGAGGCAAGAAGAGAAGAGGAGGAGGAGAGAATGATGAGGTCGTCAACGTAGACGAGAAGGATGAAGAAAGATGCAGCTGTGGGTCGGTCGATTAGGAGAGTGAGGAGGAGCAGTGAATAGGCCGGGGTCCGCATGGGCAGCGAAGAGGTGAAAGGCAGCAAGCTCCTCACGAAGATTGCAATACCAGCACCGCGGCGCTTGCTTCAACCCGTACAACGGTTTGTGCAATAAACAAACTTGCCCAACACCATGGACTGCCGGAAGTTCATACCCGGGAGGCTGCATTATGTAGAGAATCTCATCAAGTGTGCTGTTGAGGATAGCGTTGGAGATGTCCAGCTGGTGGACTTCCAAGTCGAAGGCGGCAGCAATGGTGACGAACAGGCGGAAGGTGGGAAAGCGGACGGTAGGAGCAAAGGTGTCATAAAATTTATCACCGCCGCGTTGCTTGAAGCCTTTGACAACCGGGCGGGCCTTGCGGCGTTTAATAGAATCATTCGGCATCCATTTGCATGGAATTGGCTTGCACTTGGGTGGGCGAGGAACAATGCTGTAAGTGTCATTAGCGTGTACAGCAGCGAGTTCCTCATCAGCACCTTTGATCCATTCAGCAGCATCAGGGCCAGTGCGGGCCTCTTGAATGGTCTGAGGTTCGTTATGATGATGAAGGGCAGCATTGGCGGAGGTTTTGGAAAGAAGAGTAAATGTGAAGTCAATGGGTTGGGAAGGAGAAGGTAAGACTTTGAGTAGTGAAAAAAGTGAAGGATCAAAAGGAGCTGAAGGGGATGGTGGTGAGGAATGAGTGGTGCAAGGGGGAGGATGAGGTGAAGAGGGAGGGGAGAGGGATGGAAGGTGAAAGTCTTGAGGCGTCGAGGGCAGCGGAAGGTTGGAAAACAATGGAGGAGGAGAAGAGGTGGCTGGTGTGGGCAGAGTTGGGGACGGTGGGTGGGGGGTGGTGGAGGAGGGTACGGTGGGTGAAGGAGAGGGAGGGGAGGTTGGGGCCAAGAAGGAAGGGGGAGGAGGAAGAGGCGTGGAGGATGATATGGGTGGAGATGACGATGGAGGGTCTCGAGGGTCGTCGGAAGTTGGCGAGGAGGGCTCCATGAAGATTGCATCACGAGAAGATATGACACGGTTCTGAGATGGGATATAGATGCGGTAAGCTTTGGTGCCGTCAAGATGACCGTATCCAACCAACCATGATGCCAGCCGTGCTTGGGCCGTTGAGCTTAGAACGCCGTTATGAAGGAATGAGGACCGAAACGGGTGAACCGAAGATGCGGAGGTGTGATACGTCCGGGCGTGCACCGGTCCATAGTTCCATGGGAGTCGTAGAAGTCGAACAGCCCCAACTAATTGTCAACGGGAGTTGTGTGTTGGCCCCGTCCTCGCTTGGGCGGAGCCGACATCGTGGTCGGGTGTGAGGGGAGCAGCCGACCTGCAGCAGTGGGCGAGCTGGTTGACGAAGAGGTCGACCTGCACGGGGACCACTGCACGGGCGCCGACTTCAGGGTGACGCCGACTTCGGGGAGGTCGACTTGGGAGTCGACCTGCGGAGGACGTCAACTTGGTGACGTCGACCTGGGGAAGCCAACTTTGGTGGTCGGTTGGCGGACTGCTGGTCGACCTGCGGGTGGTCGACTGGACCTGGTGGTCGACGAAGGAGGGGCCGACGTCGACCTCGACTCAGGACGCCGAGCAGTTGGGCGTTGAGTAACGGGGCGTCCACTTCGTGACGCCAACTTTGGGTGGCCGACGTGGGTGGTCGGCCGACAACTGTGCTGGTCGACGAGGATCAGGTCGACCAGAAGGGACGTCGACCTGGAGGAGGTCGACCGAGGGGCGTGGCCGACCTGGTGAGGTCGACGTGGAGGTGGTCGTCGACTTGGGAGGTCGACGGGCACGTATGGGAGCTGCTGGTCGACGTGGTTGCCCGGTCGACCAGGTTACCTGGGTGACGAGGTTCTGCGGAGGAGTGCGACGGTCGCCCAGGCGAAGTTGGCGAGCCCGACCTCGGAGGTGGTATCTCGAGGTCGTCGTGGCGGATCAGAGGCAGTCGTCAGCTCGAGGTTGACGTGGTGTGTGCGCTGTGCAGGTGACGAGACTCTGCACGCCAATCATCTGCGCGCACCTGCGAAGCGGGTGCACTGCTGTCTTGCATGAGCAACGCTAGCACGTCGTCAACCTGCGATGTTGGCACGCCGTCGACCTTGCCTTGCTGGAGCGTGGTCGAGCAAGTCATGCTGGAACGCGGTCGACCAAGCTGCGCTGGCAGTTGGCCGACCTGAATGCTTGCTCTGATGTAGTCTTCCTATGCCAACTTCATT